CGGACGCTTAACCGACTGCGCCACCCAGGCGCCCCAGTTGTGTCCTCTTTAAAGTTAAACTAGCTGTGGTTCCCTCCGTAGATAGTAGTTCTGTAGATATCTCACAAATTGCGGTTATATATATTTTAATAGAAATATATATTAATCATATATAAATATGTATTTATACATATATATAAGTATGTATTTTTAAAGTGTCAAGGACAAAGAGATTCATCCATAATCCCCATATTCCTTTATAGAACCTTCTCATGTAGTACCCCTTGATTTCCAAACTCAAATGCTGAATGACATACAGACCAGCACTGTACAATGGAAATATATTGGAGCCAACTAAGTAACTTTAAATTTTCTAGTAGCACATCAGAGAACAAATGACCACTCTAGGTCATAGATATAATAGTAGTAATAACTTCTCTATTACCACTATGACCACTTCTCTATGACCACTTCTAGGTCATAGATATAATAGTAGTAATAACTTAGTTATATGCTAATAATCTAACTAGTAACTGAATAATAATGTATTGAACGCTTACTACACACTTTTAACATATTAATTCGTTTAATCCTTTCAACAGCCTGTTTAGGTGGACCCCATTTTTCCCATTTTACAGATGAGAAAACAGACACACATAGATTCAGTGACTTGTCATACAGCTAATAAATGGCAGAATTGGCATCAGAACACGGCCATTTTTATTTCTGTCCTGAAAAATTTTGCGGCAGCTTCCCTATTTTTCTAACTCTTCAGTTTTGTTTTATTCCAGTCCGTCTGTATCTCTGCTTCTTAAAAAGTTATTCTCATTATGTGAGTACCCATAAAACTCCCTCTTGTCTGTTAAAGATAATTTGATTTATAACCATTTAAGGCTCTCCATGAACTGTCCTTAGATTTGTTTTTTCTCACCCTGTAACATAGATTCTCCAGCCTTAGCAAGCTAACCTGTTTACTATTTGGCCCTTATAGTTCGCTCATTCTCTCTTCTCTACCATTGCCATGCGTTATTGCTGGAAAGACCTCCTTTATCCTCTTTTGCCCAACCCATGCTTCTTCCTTCAAACCTCACCTTTTCCAGAAAGCTCTCATTGACTAACTCCACTCAACTCTAACCCCTTTCCTGTCAGCTCCCAAGTACTGGCTTTTGCTGATTTGTTTGTATTTCGTCTGTTGTTCTCTAATTATATTTTTAATTTGTTTATATGGATATCTTTTCAAGATGTACTCCTAATTCCTTCATAACTGTAGGTATTGAGCCCTGAACAAAATACATCTCAATTGTTATTGACCCAACTAACCGATTGATCAAGAGAGAATATTTTATCCAGTCTGTAGCCTTTCTTTTTTGTACAAGACGTATGCCCTATAGAGAAACTATGTGAACCTAAGACTAGAAGCAACCTTTTTTTTTTTTTTTAATAAAATCACAGAAGCAATTAAAAAAAAAAAAATCACCAGGGCCATAGGCTTCATCGTAGCAGTAATTGTGACCCTGCTGAGGGAAAAGGGGAGAATCTTACCTGGCCCTCTCCCTAGTCCCATGACCCAGGAAGTTCCAATGTAGCAAGTTAGGAGTGAAGCCATACTTACTACCTATAAGTTGGGATTGGGGAATGGAAGGTTGAATTGGGGTATGGGCATACAGTTCTCATAAATAAGACTGGCTAACAATCTAATATGCTCCAGGCAGGCCTCTCTGGAATAACTGAAATGAAGAACACGAGGGCTCTTGGAAATTCATTTCTCTCCACGATGCTTCAGAAGGAATGGGGTGGGAGGGGGGGAGATTCAGTAATGTCTCAAGGTCATTAGCCTTACTTCTAGCAGATCTCTAGGCTGCTGTTTAAGGAAGCCCTTGAAAATCTAAATCCCCCCCCCCATTCCCCCATTCAATCGTGGCTGCCACAATTAGACAGAAAGGGTGAGGACAATTTTTTTTCTTACATCTGTAACAAGAACCTTAGCAGCAGACAATAACTGCTCCAGGTCTGTCAAATAGATGCATGAAAATCTAAATTTCAAAACCCATGCAAATTGTATACTTCAGTAAAAAGTTAAGAAAGAAAAACGTAGGGGCATCTGGGTGGCTCAGTTGGTTAAGCCTCTGACTTTGGCTTAGGTCACAATCTTACAGTTCAAGACTTAGAACCCCGCATTGGACTCTACTGTCGGCAGGGAGCCTGCTTCAGATCCTCTGTCTCCCCCTCTTTCTCCCCCTCCTGCACTCGTTCTCCCTCTCTCTATCAAAATAAATAAACTTGGAAGGAAGGAAGGAAGGAAGGAAGGAAGGAAGGAAGGAAGGAAGGAAGGAAGGAAGGAAGGAAGAAAAAAACACCAAAGTTATTCTAGGGGCTCTTGGCTGGCTCAGTCAGTAGAGCATGCAACTCTTGATCTTGGGGTCTTGAGTTTAATCCCCACATTGGATGTAGAGATTACTCAAATAAGTACATAAACCTCAGAAAATAAATAAATGAAGTCATTCTAAGACATTTTTGTCCTTAGATTTTAGGCACTAGCCTGAGTCTGAGGACATAAGTCCCAATCTTACCGCTGACTTTGTCTATGGCCTGGAGCAAGCCTTACAATTTCCCTGCTTCAGTTTCCCCATTCGGAAAGGAGACAAGTGCATGATGAATGCTTTTCTCGAAGAAAAATATTATGTTACTTGTGGGTTAGGAATTTCTAAAAGAAGTCTATCATGTTCTTAATGTCAGTATGGTCTTCATAGCAGGAATGCTAGATAAAGAGCTGGGAGAAACGATATGTCGAACAAACGTAAATCATTGGAAAACATGTTTTAAAGCAAAGATAATATAAAGGAGTTGGGACAGGAAGCCAAAATATTCAGGGAGGAGGGAAACACATCCTGGCTGTGGAACATTGAAAGGGGAAGAGAAAGATGTGGAAGACTTTGGGAGACCATTACAAAACCCACCATATTAGATCGAAACTAAGCATAACTATTAATATGTAACCTCCCTGACATAGAAATTAAAGCCTTCAATGTCACTTTCAAGCATGGAAATTATAATTCTAATTTCGCTATTATGAGTCTTAACCTGTAGAAGGTAGTGAGGGGGTTCCAAACACCAGGGACACAAAAAGAAAGAGAGCAATCCATGGGAGCTTGGATGCCATGAGATCCCAGCTTTGACTCTTTGTAACATAAAATGGCTGTTGGAATGACTGTTGGAAAAGTGGGGAGTACATCTACCCATCCTGTGTTTTTCATGAAAGGAAAGCAGATTAATTCCATATGCTTTTAAATGTATACTATACCAATGGATACTACATGTAACAGGTGGTGTGTATGTTTGCATGTGTATATAAATACAGCTGAACTTTGAAAAAGGCAGGGATTGAGGCACAGACCCCTGTGCAGTTGAAAGTGCATGTAACTCTTTGACTCTGACTTAGCTACTAATAGCCTACTGTTGACTGGAAGCCTTACTGATATCAGTCGATTAACGTGTAGTGTGTGTGTGTGTGTGTGTGTGTGTGTGTGTGTGTGTGTGTGTGTTTATTTAAGTTTATTTATTTTGATAGAAATAGCACAAGTTGGGGAGGGGCAGAGGGCAAGGGAGAGAGAGAGAATCCTAAGCAGGCTCTGCATGGTCAACGCAGAGGCCACTGCGGGGCTCAAACTCAAGAACCACGAGATCATGACCTGAGCCCAAGTCGACTGCTCAACCAACTGAGCCATCCAGGTGTCTGTGTGTGTGTGAGTGTGTGTGTGTGTGTGTGTATGTGTGTGTAAGTTTATTTATTTTGAGAGACAGAGCATGTATAAGCAGGGGAGGACCAGGGAGAAGGAGAGACTGAATCCCAAGCAGGCTCCACACCAACAGTGCAGAGCCTGATGTGGGGCTCCAGCTCACAAACCAGGAGATCATGACCTGAAGCCGAGGTCAAGAGGCAGATGCTTAACTGACTGAGCCACCCAGGTGCCCCTGTGTTTTTTTTTAATTAATGTATTTATTTTAAGAGAGAGAGAGGGGG